CACACACACACACACACACTCACACTCACACACACACTCACACACTTACCCTAAAAGAAGATGATATGTGGTTTTTCTTGCACTTTAAAATCAGATATACAAATTCTGTCTTGTTTAAATTAAATCTATCCATTATACGTATTCAGTGGACATTCAGAAAGTGAGAAAATGTAAGCAGTATTTGAACAGTGTGGACCAGGAGTTGGGCGAATATAGTTTAGTTTTCTTATTCGACCACTGACTGGTCGTGAACAAATAACCTTCTAAGTTGCATCATGCATACAATTTGGTACAACGTTGGTGTAAGGATTGCTGAAATGATAGGTATAAAATACGTAGCCTCTGGGAATTGAGGATGCTGTTTAATTGCCTATTCAGACAGATATTCACTCCTTCCTTTCTCTCAGCCCTTGATACTCCTTGGGAGTTGAAGGTGAACATTTTGAGAAGTATATTAACTTCCTTATACCAGTGGAGTGCTTTATATTAAATTATAGTCAACCTTAGTGGTGAGTGGCAGCCTAATGTGTAGAATTCCTGACCTAAAAAATATTTCTCCCACAGGCCTGTTGATTATTCCAAACATTCTATCAGAAAGCTTTGTCTTTAATAAAATACAAATGCCCGGGAAGAATGGAAAGAGATGCCTTATGGTCATTACAGTTTAGAGTGAACTGAATTTTACCAGATCCTTTAAATATAGGTTGCGTGCATGCGATATGAAGGCCTGGACTTCTGAGCAGGGGCGAGGGATGGTGGCATCAGAGTGCCACTTGGAAGGGGAGGAAAGGGCTTGAAGATGTGCACCTCCTTTTTTATATTTTTACCTCAACCTTGCCTTTATTTGCAAAAACGGGGCCTCAAAACAGTTTCGAGCCTCTATTTGGATTCTTAGACCACATTAAGGGCCAGCCAAAGTAGTTGGGATTAGTTTAGATTTGAATAACAGGAAGTCAAGATAATGGCATAAAGAACATACAGGTTTATAGTGTCTGTCACATAAAAGAAGTTCAGAGTTGGCAGCCCAGGGCTGGTGTGGAGGTTACGTAAAGCCATCCAGGGTTGGTTTCCTCCTAATCCACTATCAGAGAAACCTGATTGTCCTCATAATTCAGTATAGTTCCTAGAGCCCCCAGCCATTACATTTGCATTCCTGAAATGGCAAATGCAGAAGGAAAGCAGACTTAATGAAAGTCTCATATAACACTTTCACCTACATATTATTGGCCAGAACTCAGAACATGCTTCCACCATGCTGCAAGGAAGTCTGGGAATTACAGTCTTTTTGCTGGCCAGTTCATTGCTAACCAGTTCCAAATTGGAGGTTCTGTTAATTTGAGAGAGAAGGGGAGGTAGTTGTAGGTTACCAGCCATGCCTGTCAGAGGAGCTAACATTTATTGCATGCTTATTGTGTATGTGCTAGTTATTGTGCTAAGCACATTACTTGCATTCTCATATAATCCTCACAGCATCTCTGTGAGGTAGTTACTGTCATTATCCCCATTTTGCAGATAAAGAAACAGGATCAGAGAGGCTTGCCCCAGGCTGCACAGTAAGTAGTAGAGTCCACATCAGATCATGTGCCCTTTACTGCCATTTTATCTCGAGTGCTGTAGTTTTGGGAAACCATTTTCTAACAAAGATCTCTAAAGTTAATGTCTCCCTAACAACGCACACCACTTAAGCAGTTTATCACCTGCTCAGTGGTATTTCTTAGAGTCAACGGCATTAATGTTGCTTCAACAGAAACATAGGTGAAAAATTGAACACGTGCCTCAATGGCAACCTGTGCTTCTGAGAAACATTAAGTGCTCTAACAGATGGGACTCATTTGGCTAAAAATAAAAAGTAAAAGCGTGAATCAAGATCCTCAGACTCCCTTTCTGAGTCTGACCCATTAACTTCCCTTTTGAGTTTAATATTTGAAAGAGAACTGAAGTATGGTTTAAAAAGCAAGGAGAGTGCTGTGCTATAAGAAACAAAAATGACTGGACTGGCAGTCAGCAAACTTGCATTTGAATCTTGGCTCACTTAGCTCATCTGGGCATCTGTATGAGTCTAGGTTCCCCAGAGGAACAGAACCAATGGCAGAGGTGGATGGATAGATGGACAGACAGACATAGATATAGATAGATAGATGGATGGATAGATAGATATTTTGAGGAATTGACTCATGCGGTATAGAGACTGAGGGACAGATGGACAGACGATGGATAGATATTTTGAGGAATTGACTCATGCAGTGTAGAGACTGATAAGTTCCAGATGTGCAGTTAATAAACCAGAGATGTAGTTCCAGTTGTAGTGCAAAGGTCTAAGAGCTAGGAGAGCCGATGGTGTCAGTTCTAGTCCAAGTTCATGTGAAAAGCAGACCATGTCTCACCTCCAACACAGTCAGGCAGAGAGAGCAAATTCTCTTACTCAGGCCTTTTGTTCTATTCAGGCCCTCAATGTATTGGATGAGGGCCGCCCACATTGTTACAAAGACTTTTTTTTTTTTTTTTAGCTGAGCCATCCTGCCACCTGTTGGCAGCTCAGCTTGGGCCGGGAATCGAACTGGCGACCCTGTTGCTCAGAGCTCACACTCTTGAGTGAGCTCTTAACCAACTGAGCCACTTGGCCGGCCCTACAAAGACATGTTTTGAATGCCTACTGCTGT